AAGATATGCCGAGATAGAGTGCCAGGAACATATGCCAGAAGATATGCCAGGTAGAATGCCAGAAGAGATGCCAGATAGAATGCCAGATGATATGCCAGATAAAGTGCCAGAATGTTTGCCAGATAGAATGCCAGAAGATATGCCAGAAGGTATGCCAGATAGAACGCCAGAAGATTTGCCAGATAGAACGCCAGAAGATTTGCCAGATAGAGTGCCAGAAGATTTGCCAGAACATATTGCAGAAGATATGCCAGGTAGAATGCCAGAAGATATGCCAGATAGAATGCCAGAAGATATGCCAGATAAAATGCCAGAAGATTTGCCAGTAACAAAACGTATAGATGTCATGGTGGGGAAAATTCGAAGTAAAGTAATTGCTTTCCTTTTAAATATATAGTGTATGCATTATTTGCTTCAATGTATCTATATATATATGTGTGTGTGTATATCTTATACTAATACAATTTATGCTTTATTATTTAAAATGAACATACATAAAGGATTACCAGAGCCACATCTCTCCGTCTTACTTGCGCCATAAATATCCGTTTCTGCCTTGCCAAACAATAAGAAAAAACTATACATATATGAAGACCCTTCACAAGTTCCAAACAATAAAGTATCCGAACCTCAGAAAAAAAAACACTGTTCCCACTCAATATGGTAAAATCCATTTGCACAAAAAACTACTTGCATAAAAATATCACAAGAATGTCGTCACAATAAAACTCAAAATACTCAATTTACGTTGCGTGTAAATAAATTTACTTTACTAACAATTTTCCCAAAAAAAATACAGTAAATTGCTTCGAAAGAGTAAATCCTTCAAATTAGTAAATTTACTCTTTTTCGAGGCTCAGGGTGCTCTCTGCGTTCTCAGTTCCCGACTCCTGGCTCCCGCACTTTGCCTTCTCAAAAAAGGTGTGTGTGCCTCTGCCTTCGGGGGAACAAAGGGCCAGCTGGTTAGGCCTGCTTGGAGCAGGTTGCCCGGGGCATGGAAGAACTCACTGGTCCTCGTGGAGGCTGCAATTGGTCAGATGGTGTTTACTAGGTGTGGTATCCCCCGCTCAGTGGCTGTGGCAGGCCGTATGCCCTCGCCCGATCATGTATTGGAAGTTGAAAGCTTCAGCGGCATTGATGAGCTGGTACGCCTAAGGAAATTTAGTCAGGACTTGGGGTCCGGAGGCACGTCTCAACACCTTCGTAGGTTCGAAGCTGTCTGTGCATCTCTGAAGCTCCCGATCGAACAGGCCAAGGGAGTTCTGGAGTACCTTACGAAGGGATTGGAGGCATTGGCCGTAGGCGCGTCCAGTGGTGAAGTGAAGGTGGCAGAAGATATACTTGTGAACTTCTTGTCACTGACGCTGGGTTTACTCCAGTCAGAGGTTTGGACGGATCAGTATCTACGCCGTTGGATGGGAAAGGCAATATTCCTGTCCACTATCTACCGGCCCCTGCTCTCTGTACTGGAAACGGTGTTGCCACGGATGATAGAGATGGAACCTCAAGGGTTCGTGCCAACCTCAAATGTGATTGAGGAGGTCATCTGCTTCACCGTTCTTTCGCTTTAGGCTGTCACGCTACGGAGGGTCAGAGTGTCAGAGGAAATCTCGCTGACCACCGCCACGCCCACGGGCGGGGGCGGGTCAGCGGCCACGACCTTTATGGACCGCAGCTTGGAGGCCCCTCCTGCCGCTTCCCCTGACAATAGTTGTGCTGCGCGCGGCCGCGGCTTGAAAGACGCCAGCACACCGACCTGCCCCTGCCCAAGGGCGTGTGGGAAAGTGGGGTGCTCCATTCGGTGCGCCCAGTCGCATTTTGAAATGGGCAGCTGTGAGCGCAAGAGTTTTGCCGTCCCACGATTCGGTGAGCGATTTGCGGGGAGGAATTATCCGTTGACAATGGCCGTTGCCCTCGCAGGAGGGGCGGTCCAGCGCCCGCTTGACATCCAGATTGAAGATAATGCGTGGGATGATTTTTTACAACAGGGCAAGGAGGCCCTTGACTTCCTTGAAGAGGACCCAGCGTTACGATGGCGACATTGGGCACCTGAGAACTGAGAACTCCACTTTCATCAAACCAAAGGAGCCACCAGGTCACACGGGGCAGACGAAAGGGAAAGGTGAAAGGAAACGACCAGCAAGGTTCCGCACAGAGGAACAGCCATGGGGCGTCGACAGGTTGGGCCGTGAAGACCAGGTGCGACTTCGCCAGGAGAACAAGATGGTCAAGCGAAGCCTCAGAGGGCTGGAAGCAAATGACCGCCGAGGCGGGTTTGCAGGTCTTGAACATCCCTATGATTCATTCCTTTGGAAAATGGAAGAGGCAGAGGAGGTCCGGTCACGGCTGGGGTTTATGATCTCGTCGTGGTCCTATTGCTGCTTCGGGGGTCGTAAGACCAGATGGACTTCGCTCTTGCACGACTCACCCAGGGAGCATCAGGCGCTCCATCGCCCTCGCTGCCAATGTTCATTCTCAGCGGACCAACCCGCTGGAGCAGGAACCAACCAGCAAGGGGGAGAATCTCCTGTGGACGCTGAGTACCCCTGGCAGCTGTGCGTGGCTTATGCTGACGCGATTATCGCTGACTTGAGGGCCCTGATGATCCCGCCTTTGGGGACCGCTCAGTTTGACCTCCCCCATTTGCTATACAATCAGATCATGGGGGCTGCCAGGGGGTTGCAGAGCGAAGACCTTGTGTATACAAACTTGTCCTGGAAGTGGAAAACATGGTGCGACATATGGACTCCGGAGATGGGCAGAAGCATCTGGCGAACCTTGCCGAAAAGCAGATGTTCAGGGGGTCTGACATTTCGTTGTCGGCGCCCAAAGAAGGCAATGGAAGAGGGGTGATGACACCTTACCCAGCCTTCCGCTGGTTTTGGCAAACGGTGGAAGACCACAAGTGGCCGATGGAGCAACAGCTATCGGTGGTGCACATGATAATGATCCTGGCCGAACTTCGGCGCCGCTCCAAATCAACCAGACATTTCTACAAAGTGTATGTGAACTTGATGGATAGCTCAATCTGCTATTGGGCGCTTACCAAGGGGCACTCGTCATCCTCGACCATGAACCGGGTCTTGCAAAAGATCATGGCTGTGAGTCTTGCAACTAATATTCAGCCCAAGTTGGCATGGACCCTGCCAAAGTGGAACCCTTGAGGGAAGCGAGGCTACGGCCGTATCCATGTGGTCCTTGCAACGGTGGTTGGCAAGAACCACACAGCATAGCGGCTGTGTCAAGGAAACGCCTCCCAATTCCGTTCTTTTGGTCCCACAAGGCCAGAGTAGTGATGGGGCTACCCAAAAATGATTTCCCAGCTACTTGGCTTGAGGCCCTGAGCGAAGGGTGCGAAGATGAGCGATCTCTACGGAGAAGTGGGCTGCCAAACCCCTCGTTGCAGCAAAAAAGGTGGGCCAATGTCTTATCCACCCTGGCTGCAACCGGTCTTTACCGTTGTAGCGGTTGGCAATACACGCCCCAGGCTCCGCACTCTTCGCCCTTTGCGAACAACTTCAATAGTTTCTTGCCTTTTCTGTTGGGCGAAACCCGTTTGAATTCAAATCAGCCGTCATGGCATTTCTAACTCAATTGCGCTTGCGCATCTGGCCTCTCATTTGATTTGGGCTTTTGAGCCCTACGACCCTGCCCCAAGGGGCGTTTGAGAGGGTCTTTTGAACCAACCAGAGGTCCGCCAGACGACTGCTTGCTGTTTCACTTCAAACAGGTTCAGACGCAGTAGAGCTTTTCCATTGTACAGCTGCTTCTGCTGTAAAAATACATTTGTTCCGAATGAAGGGAGACAAAAGGACCAACAAGTTGTCGAATCTCTTGAGGTTCACAAAAGGGGGGCCCTTTTATCATGCCTTCCTGAAGGCTGGGGGGGCTCGGCCCACCACTACCGTACTTGAAGGCTGTCCCTCTTACTTTCAAGTAGCTACGCCAATTTTCGGAAAAGTGGACAGGTTGGGGCTCTTGAGCCTCTGCCCCGGCTTGGCTTTGGGTTCTTGAGCCCTTGCTCTCTTCGCTGACTGGGCCTTTGCCCTTTTGTTTCGGCTCCTGAGACTTTGTCTTTTGTTGCCTGGGTCTTGACCCTTCTCGGCTGGCGGGGCCTTTGCCCCTTTTTGGCTCTTGAGCCTTTGCCTTTTCGGCCTGTGCTTTACCCCTTTTTTCTCATTGGCTTGTGAGCTTCCACTTTCCCTTTTCCTTTCCCTCTTAAAGCTGATTGGGCAGGTTGGGGAGTTAACCTTGCTACGGCATGTCCACCCTCGGGTGTGGTCCCTGGGGTGAAACCCTTAAATTGTATAGGCGCAGTAAATTGCGCGCATCCTCACCCCAACCTTGATTCCCAAATCGGCTGCGTTGAAAAGTATGGGCTAGCTTAAAAATATATAATTACTAGGTTAACCTTGGATGGCTACTTAAATTAATCCTTTTGGTGTCCTTTTGGTGTCAACTGCACCAGCTAAGAAATTGCTTGTTTTTTTTTGGCAGGGTAGCTAAGATTGGCACTGTTAATTAATTATTTATATATATATATATCAATGTGGGATGGGTTTTACAGACATCAAAATGGTCATATGGTTGATGAATGTTGATGATAGGTTTTGCCGGGTTTTTGGGCGGATGAAGATCCATAAAATCCCACGGATTTCGATGTCAGGGGTACGCCGGGTTTTGACGGATGAATTTCATGGCCGTGTCTGAAAATCGGGATCAAGTTGCCACGAAGAAACAGGGAGAGAAACTGGAGATCAAACTGCTGGAAGCTGCACAAAACCTGCGAACACTGACCTTTTCACCTGTTCAACTCTTAGGGCACGGCTCCTGCATCCCACTTCGGACGTTTCGACATAGGGGTCTCGTGCAAATGTACAGTAGTTACTGCACCAACCATGATTGCTCAACAAAAATGTGGCATAATGTGGCAAATCCATGGGTGCAACTTCCCGTTTTGCATGATTGTCAACAAAAGTTGCCAATGTTTGGCAAGTCATTGGGCATGTGCCTTTTCTTTGTGTGCTGTTTGGGGTTCAAAGACATGATAACGAGCCCCGCATGGATACATAGATGCGTTTTCTCCAGATTTTGGTGATATGACTTTACCAAGTGATTTCCAAATTGAATTCCAAATCAATGTCCAGGTGTTTGGTGACTTTTGTTTGCCCTTATATCCATATGGAGGTGTCCTAAAACATTATAAACCATCTATTTTGGGGCACCTCTTTTTATGAAAACCCCCATATCATAAGATGTCCAGTCTGTGTCTGAGCCATCCTGAAGTCATCGGCCAAGGTTCAACTCCTCCAAAGCGCCCGTGGCCGTGTGTGTCGAAGCGATGCCTTCCACAATGCGTTTGTTGAAGGACGGCCTCGGACGGCAGCGGACGGGAAACGGAGACCGGGAGACCCGGATTCCAGGTCAACCACACCACCTGGATGGGTAGCTTAGTGTGCTGTGATTTTTTGTTTTCCTCATGTTTATTGCGTGGGGTGTAGGGGTCTTTACCTAATATAATATTTATATAATTATATATGATGGATGGTCTCAATTTCCAACCTGTTTGGGGATTGACCCCAATTTTTCTGCTTAAGCCCCTATGTTCATCAGTGTTGCGGCTGCAATCCGCGTGAATGTTTCCCGTTTTGACATATTTCTTCAGCAAGTGGCAGAAATAACTCTTCAATATGCCTGGGGTTAACACGCCCCCGGTTTCACTGGGTTGCTTTCATATGGTTATAATAACAGCGCGCGGTTCTTGGGACCTCCAAGTACTTGTTTGAGAGATTGATGGCCAACTCTGGTGCCAACTCTGGTGCCAACTAGCTAATACAACTAGAGTTTATGGTGGTTGCAGCTAGGGTTAAGGATAACATACCAACTTATAACTAGAGAGCACCAAAATTTCAGTAGCTAAACTTAATTTTGACTTGCTAAACCACCAGATTTTGCCCTTTAAACCTCAATTTTTAGTGGTAAGACCCGACGTTTAGTGGCAAAACCCGATGTTTAGTGGCAAAACTAAATTTCTAGTGGTTAAATAAATACATGTAGTTTTGCTGAAACCAAAGTTACTTGTTAAGCCCCTATTCTTGATAGTTGTGATTGCCCGATGATTTAAACCTTCAGTGCTGTTGCTTAAATCCCACTTAACTCCTTATGTTTGGTGATTAAAATACCAGTAGTACCGCACAAGGCGGTGGCGGAAGTTTCAAAAATAGGAAACCTATAGGAGAGGTTGGTTGTTGTGAATCAGGGATGGCAGAGCGAAGCCACTGATGGATTGAAAGGTGCTTGATCTCTCT